GTCTTAGGGCATTGTTCTAATGAAAACTTAAAGTGATTCGCCAATGGAGTGCTCACTGGTTTTGCGCTGCTCATCGCAAACATTTCTAGCATTTTCTCAACATAACCCCGTTGAGATAGCCACCGTTTCCTTGAGTCTCTATCCCTGTAAATTTCCATTCCAATAATTTTCTTTGCAGCACCTAAATCTTTCATGTCAAATTCCTGACTCAATAAAGTTTTCAAACCGATAACATCATCCATGTTATTTGCACCAATTAACATATCACCAACATACAATAATAGAAAAATAAAAGAACCATCATCAAGGCTCTTAACATAGACACAACAATCATACTCACATCGCTTGTAGCCAATCTTGATCATATAGGAGTCAAACCGTTTGTACCAATGTCTCGGAGACTGTTTCACAAAGATTTCTTCAATCTGCAAACTAAATGCTTGTTTCCAGGTTGAGTGAAACCTTCAGGCTGCTGCATGTAGATATGCTCCTCTAAATCACCATGCAAAAAAGCAATTTTAACATCCATCTGCTATAAATGCAAATCCCAACTAGCCACCAATGAAAGTACTGCTCGGATTAAAGTGTGTCTGACCACAGGAGAAAAAATTTCATCATAATTAACTCCTTTCTGCTATAAAAACCCTTTGCTACCAAACAAGCCTTGAACTTATCTCACTCTTTTTCTGTTACAGCTAGTTTTTTCTTATACACTCATTTGCAACCAATAGGCTTCTTACCATCAAGAAGGCGAACTAACTCCCATGTACGATTGTGATTCAAATACTCTATCTCCTCAACCATGACAGCCATCCACTTGTTGTTTTTCGGACTAGTAACAGCACCATGAAAAGTAACTGGATCATCACTGCTACAGTAAGTGCAAAAGAGACCAAGTCTTCAAAACCCAATCTGTTCGAAGGCTTTATATTCGTCCGTCTCACTCTGTCTCTAGAGAGACTATAATCCTACAAATCAACCGTAGCGGAACCACCAGAAGTTGGTTGAGAAGTTTCTGTTTTTTCAACTGGAAACTGTTCGAAATCCACCACTGTTGTGTCTTTCTTCTGCTGCAACATGGGATGTTCATCAAAAATAACATCTCTACTGATCACAATTTTCTTCGCAACTGGATCCCAGAACTTAAATCCTTTGACACCTGCCTTGTAACCCAGAAAAATGAACTCCTTCAATTTTACATCAAGTTTGGATCTCTCATCAGCAGGTACATGCACATAAGCAGGACAACCAAAAATCTGTAAGTGATCAAAAGTAACATCATGACTTATCCATACCTCTTCTGCAACTTTCCCAGCCAATGATGCCCTTTGCGATCTATTGATAAGATAACACGCCATATTAACAGCCTCAGCTCAGAAGTGTTTAAGAATCACCTCATTCAACCATAAACATCTGGCTCTTTCATTCAACGACCTGTTCATCTGTTCCGCAACACCATTCTGTTTTGGTGTCTTGTGCACTGTAAAATATCTCTTAATCTCATGAACCTTACAGAAGTTTAGAAACTGTGAATCTATGCACTTTGTACCATTGTCAGACCGCAAACACTTGATTTTTTGTCGTGTTTTATTTTCTACCTTAGCTTTCCACAGCTTGAACTTCTCAAAAACCTCAGACTTTTGTTTCAAAAAATACACCCAAACTTTCAGTGAAAAATCGTCAATAAAAGTAACATAATACCTAGATCCACCCAAAGACGATGTCGTGGAAGGCCCCCATACATCATAATACACATAATCAAGAATCCCTTCAGTTGTGTGCTTCTCAGTCTTGAAACAAACTTTAGTCTGTTTACTAAGAACACAATACTTGCAAAAATCGAACTTACAACTTTTAACACCATGCAACAAATTTCTTTTATTTAATTCAACCATACCACGTTCATTAAGATGAGCAAGACGTATATGCCACAGTTTGGTAGTATCATCACAGGACTCAACAGAATGAACTCCACCTACAACGGTACTCTCTAACAATCTGTAAATATTCCTTGTAGTCATCTTTCCTTTCATCACAATCAAAGCTCATTTAACAATCCGAATGGTGTCCCTATCCTCATCAGCCTTAGGGATAAAACCATTCTTGTGCAAAGTGCCCAAAGAAATCAAATTCTTCTTCAAATCTGGGATATGTCGAACACCACACAACGTCCAAACAAAACTATCATACATATGAATTCTGACATCACCAATACCAACAATATTGCAATATCGATCATCAGCCAAATAAACAGAACCATAATTAACCGACTTGTATGTCGAAAACCATTCCCTATTTGGCGTGGTGTGATAAGAACATCCATAATCAAGAATCCAAGCATCCGTCAATTGAGTCGTTGAAAGAGAGAGCATATCACCCTCACTACAATCAGAATTGTCATCGAGACTTGGATGAGTCATCACGATTCTCATCAGTCTACTTTTTCAACTTCGGACGGTCTCGCTTCATATGTCCCACCTCCTTGCACTTGTAACAGTGAATTATTTTCTTATCCCTTGATTTGGATCTAAAATTCAGCTTCCCAGACCTTGCCTTCTTTGGCTTCCGTCCACGGTCTCGATTACCTTGACATATAAGCTATCAACTTGAGAGCTTCCCCTGCATTCTACTTCCGCTAGTTGTAAGCCAACAAGGCTGCAATAATCTTCTCAACTTTGATAGTCTCTTTCCCATATGTAAGAGTAATCACCATGTGTTCGTAAGAGGGATGCAACGAACATAATAGAATCATCGCTTTGTCTTCATCCTCAATTTTCACATCAAGCCGAGCCAAATCAGAAACGATTTGATTGAAGATATTCACGTGTTGCGTCAAATCATGATCATCCTTTTATGTAGAACTTTATAACTTTCATTATAAAAATCTATAAACAAAATTCATTTACAACTTATAAGGAGACGGGAAAAGTATGATATTTTAGCATTCCTTGTAACCCCATAACCTGGTCTAAGAGTTACAACATGTGTTTTAAAGTATAAACATGTATCGATACCAAACATATATATTAGGATCAACAGGTAAGTATAACAACAGAGCAGATAAGTAAATTAGTAGGTATAATCGCCCATCACCTGAACATCATAACAAGATGTTTCTAAAACCTCACGTCTCCTTACAACCATACGAGACGAAAATCTTACTTTCTAAAGAGAAATTTGGGACCTTCAAAGAAAGATTCCTAAAAGAAAAAACATGATGAAAACTAATATTCTCAAGTGGAGCCCGAAGGTTATTAACCTTCGTAGAGGAACTCAAAACAGTAAACATGACGGAGACAAACCCTCGGAAGAGTAGTTTGAGTTAACCTTCATAGATGAACTCAAAATAGTAAACAAGAGTTATTTTATTGCTAAAATACCAAGAACACCAATGATGCAGAAACAACCAATTACAATAATAAAAAAAACCTAAACAAGAAACCTAGGACCCATACAACCAAACAACCAAAATTAGCCTATCCCTGACTTGGCAAACGCATCGGCTTCCCAATTTTCGGATCTCTTAATATGCCTAACAGTAATACCCTTATCTACCACAATCGAAACTCTCTCTTTCACCACTGACTCAAACAACATAGTACATGAACCAAGGTTTTTAATCCACTCCAAAGCCACAGAACAGTCCAATTTTAAAATAAGCCTTCCCCTTGACGCCCTATTCGACTCCAAAAAGAGCAGAAAACCCCTTCTGATGGCCAACAATTCTGCTAAAATAGAAGGACCGGACCCAATCCTCTCTGAAAAGTATCCCAACACCATTCCAGTCTCTTCCCTAAGCAAACTACCAATACCACCTCTTTGCCACTTATTATCCATAGCACTATCCATATTTACTTTAACAAAACCCGGATGAGGAGGAGGAGACCAGCTCTCAGGGACAGTAGAAGCTCTTTTTGAACACTGAACACCATCTGCTAAAGTTAGATCTCCCACAAGGCTATTAAACAGAATTGACAAATTCAAAAATTTGGAATAAAACCACGATGCCACCCTATACGTAGTGAGAAACAATAACAAAGCAGGATCGAACTTCCCTTTGTTCAAAACAATTTCATTTCTCATCTTCCAAACCAACCACAAAAGAGCGGGGGAATAAACCTCTAAATAATCGACCTTGACACAAGATCACTCCAAGCAGATAATACAGCGGCTGGGCTCTCAGGAACGACAAAAGAAACTTTCCATAATCTCATAAAGCTCACCCATAGACCCCACAAAACCTTACAAGATACAAACAAATGATAAACTGATTTCGAAAATAAACCACAAAATGAACAATCCAAATCTTCTATCCCTGAAACCCCGCATTTAATCAACTTCACTTTAACAGCCACCTGCCAGTCAAACGATTCCCTCCCAAGGGGGAGCCACACCAATCCACACATTCTTTAACCACAGATAATCGACCTCGAACTTGCTGAACATAAGACTTAGAAAAGACTTAACCGAGAAGCACCCATCCCCTTCACCTGTCCAAACAAAGCTATCTCCAAGACCATGAGATGAAGTAAAACTATACAGCATCAAATTAAGATTAAACCATTTTTCTATTTCCCAATCAGCTAAATTCTTTCTCATTGGAATGTTCCAAAACCATCCTAAAGAATTCGACTTTTTGAAATATGCGATCTTGCTTTATGAGACAATGGTTTCTCTATGTCTAATTATTTTAGCATCAAATTAAGATTAAACCATTGTTCCATTTATTAGTCGACAGAATGAATAATCTTGGAAAATTTGTGGCATGTCTAATTGTTTTGTTTGGATGGATATGAGGTTAAACACTTATTCCAACCATGCTTCTCTATGTCTCTTTCGCTTCTCTCTGTTGCTATAACACGAATTTTGTGTTTAGCAGTACTGGATGGATGAATCCGAGAATTCAATTGATTCGGTTTTAAAGCATAAACCTCTATGGGCTAGTTACAACTCGAAATTTGGCAAGGATAAGAAAAGGAAAAATAGAAGAAAAAAGGGGATATGTACCCAACTTATGAAACTAGAGTTATTCCCGTGTGAGTAGACCAACTCGTCTAGCATTTTTATATTGCCATCATGCCAAAGTTGCTTGATAAGATATTTCAATACTGGAAACATGCATCACAAACTGAGTTTGGAAGGCATGGATAATCATTTATAACATCAATAAAATTGTGGCCTTATGGTTAACGGTGATGATTTTAATTGTTATTTCTTCATGATTTAATGAAGGATTGTTAACTGGAACATTGATGGTGGAATATTTTAACTCCACAAGTAGGGTTAACAGATAGTCGTGCTTCATTTATTTTTAAAAGAGAAAATAACCTCAGTGACCAAAAATCCTATATAATATACGATTTTAACCAACTTTTTCCGGATTTGCCAAAATGACCAACAAAATCGCAATGCGATCGCTAATTCGCAACGCGATCTCCATTATCGCAAATCAGTTTCCAGATTCGCAACGCGATTATTACTATCGCAATGCGATTTTCCAATTTTACGTTGCGATTTTCCCAATTCGCAATACGAATAAGTAAATCGCAATGCGAATTTGGAAAATTGCAATGCGATACTGACTATCGCAATGCAATTTTCCTAATTCGCATTGCGATTTACGTATTCGCGTTGCGATTTTCATAATTCGCAATGCGAATACGTAAATCGCAACGCGATTAAGTAAATCGCAATGCGAATTAGGAAAATCGCAATGCGAATACGTAAATCGCAATGCAAATCTGACTATCACAATGCGAATCTGACTATCGCAATGCGATTTACATAGCGCCATTCGTATTAACGCGTATTTTTTTTTCAAATTCCAAACACGAATTTTTTCTTAATATATCGGAAACTGAACCGTCCACAGTAATCGCAACTCATAACCTCAAACCTAAAATCACAACACTCAGTCCCATCTCTATCTCTCACTCTCTACGGCGAAATCTGTCCCCATCTCCGAAGATTTTCGTCCCCATCGCCGGCGAAATCCCTCACAACCATTCACGGTCAGAAATCCCTCACAATCATTCAGAAATGGAAAATCAACATCCGAGGGTTAGTTTTTTAATTATTTTTTATTTTGAAATTTTTGCATTATTTTAGGTTTTTCATATTGAAATTGATGATAAGTTTACTGGTAATTTCAATAATAGATTAACCATTTCACTTAGATTTCTTATTAAATTCATTCGATTGTTGCCAATACTGCTAAACTGTTTAGTATTTAACCCTGTGAAGTTAGTATTTGTCTTTGTTTTGCCTTTTGGTTGAAGTAATGCAGAAGAAGAATAGTTTTGAGAATGAAAATCGCAACGCGGAAATGACTATCGCAACGAGAGAATCGCAACGAGATAATCGCAACGCGAAACCAAAATCGCATTGCGATTTTCATTTCTCATTGCGATTTTCATTTCGCGTTGCGATTCTCTCGTTGCGATTTTCATTTCGCATTGCGATTCTCTCGTTGCGATAGTCATTTCCGCGTTGCGATTTTCATTTCAACCAAAAGACAAAACAGTGTTGCAAATTTTAGTTTCAAGAATAAACTACTATTATGTTATTGTTTTTGGTATATCTTCACAGTGTAGTTTTTGGTATATCTAACTTGGTATGTTATTGTTTTTGTAGAAATTTTTTCGGCTTCATTGACATTAAGGAATAAAGTTAGCCTAGCCACTACAATTGCTTCGAAGCTTTCACCTGCACAAAGAAAATTGTTTAAGGAAACCTGCTTCGGGCCATGGCTGAGAGTACAACATCCGGGTGGAGATGCTAATTTGACCCATTTGTGGCTTCAGACCATGACTAGCGATCTACCCGACAGTATACAACGTGGTGAGGAAGAGATATGGTTTCATTTTCCACCGGCGTATACTTGTTTTGGGCGGAAGGAGTTCTGCTTAATCACTGGTCTACGATTCAGACACGATGATGTAGGCCGGTACACTCGTCATATCACCCGCCCATCATGGTTATCCAGGGTTTTTCCTGATGAGTCAATAGAGAAGCCGAACTTACACGTCGACGACATGAAGAAATTGTTTAATAAGAAAGATGGTTTTACTCGGATGAATGACGTCGATGTTGTTCGAGTATGCTTTCTACTACTTTCGTATGCCGGCTTTTTAGGCAGAGAGGCCAGACAACCTATTCCTCAGGAGCTAATATTATTGGTAGAGGACCTAAATGCATGGAATCTGTTTCCGTGGGGTTCGTATATATGGAAAGCTACCTGGACTAAGTTGTCGTCTGCCTTTGATGACCGCAAAAGTTTGCGGGGTGATGGGTCGAAATACACTTTGTCAGGCTTTGTTTGGGCCTTTAAGGTAAGAATTTCTATATAATGTTTTCAAAATTATAATTAATTATTTAACAATTACTAATGTTTGTTATTATATTGTTTGTAGATTTGGATATTCGAGGCTTTCCCCAGCATGCGGACATATGCATTAAAAACCTCAAATGATATTCCTAGGGCTATTTCCTAGAAGAGGAAACGTCTGTTGGATTGGGAAGACTTAATACCATATGCGACAATAAATAATGTAAGTTAACACAAATACTATCATATATAAACAAGTTATTAATAGTAGACGTTTAACATTGTTTGAGTTTTTATATTTTTAGGAGGCCAACACTCCATTAATGAGACTGACACCCACGGAGGCTGAGCTTGCCACTGATTGGTGGCAAGCTAGTCAGCGTTTTCTTGATGGCACGAATGATGAGCAGCCTCCACTTCCTCCACTTCGAGAGCCATCACCTCACCCAGGGCCATCACCTGATCGACCCTACTATACACCTCTACAACGAGAGCCATCACCTATCCCGTCACATCATCGAGCCTCTTCTCCACCATCACCTCATGATAGGCGACCGACAAAGATGCCACGACTTCTATCTCCCTGTTCTCCACCTCCACGGGATGAGTCAAGGGAGTTACGTGATGAGGTCAATGCCTTGCGTGAGGAGATCGGTACTCTACGCGATAACGATGGTGCATGGCGTGTGGAGGTGTCTACTTTACGTGGTGAGGTTACCGCTCTACGTGAGATGGTAGTATCGTTGCAGAATGAGGTTCATACTCTACGCAACGAGGTAAGTTTAAGATTTTCCATATTTAACTTGATGATAAATTTACTCGTAATTTCACTTATATTAACCATTTCACTTAGATTGCTTAGTAAATTTATTCGGTTGCTGCCAATACTGCTAAACTGTTTATTAACACTGTGAAGTTAGTATTTGTCTTTTGTTTTGTCTTTTGGTTGAAGTAAATTTATTCGGTTGCTGTCAATTCTGCTAAACTGTGTATTCTTTAACACTGTGAAGTTTGTATTTGTCTTTGTTTTGTCTTTTGGTTGAAAGTAAATTTATTCGGTTGCTGCCAATTCTGCTAAACTGTGTATTCTTTAACACTGTGAAGTTAGTATTTGTCTTTGTTTTGTCTTTTGGTTGAAAGTAAATTTGTTCGTTTGCTGCCAATTGAAACTATTCTTCTTCTGCAAATTGAAACTTGAATGAATTGCATTACTTCAACCAATAGACAAAGACAAATACTAAGTTGACAGTGTTGCAAGTTTGAAACATATTTGCCTTTGTTATCTGATGCATTTTGTGAACTATGATAGAATAATGACTTGGGTGAATTCAATGCAAGTTTGAAACATATTTGTCTTTGTTTTCACTATTTAAATATCATGTCTGTTTATTTACTGATATTTGTATTTAATTATTTAGCGGACCGATAAGGTGGATGCTTTAGGTCGGGTTTTTCTTGTACGACAGAGTTCACACATCAGACGGCGTGCACATGCTATTAAGTCTCCGTACACCCCAATAGTGCGAAGACACCGCAAGAAGAAGCCCGACTCGCCTGTCATCCCTCAAGAGTCCACTCCTATCGTTGAAGAGGCCCCTATCATTCCTCGAGAGTCCCCTCCCACCGTTCAAGAGGCCACTGTCATCGTTGAAGAGGTCCCTCCCACCATTCAAGAGCCTGATTCACATTGCGTCGTATGTAGGATTCTTGAGAAACCCTCTGACGTGCCGGACATGATGGATTCAAGTTGGCTCTCGTATGAGTTACCGGACAGTACCATACCGGTATCTGAAGTGGAGAGGAAACAACTACCGGACACAATTCTGGATAACACCCTTTGGGCTAAGACCGCAGTTGATTTTTATCTACATGAGCGAAGCCAGGGGTGTTTCACTGACATATGCAAGCTCAATGATGATATATATTTGTTGCTTGATCGGTCTTGGTGGGGCGTATTATTAGGGGTCGAAGACAATGGCTATTTAGATGGAGGGGTAAGTCTTATATTTTTCTTATATTTTAATTTGATTATTTTTTTTTGTAAATTTATGTAAGTTACTAATATATGTCTTTTTTTGTAAAATAGCATATCGATGCGTGGGTGTCACGTCTTCTAATAATTAGGAAACTTAAGGAAAATAAAAGAAATACACGATATACAATTATGCCGACGTCTTTTAACGTCGTTCACTTGAAGAATCAACGAGATGAATCATTTGCGTTGGGCAATGGACAAGCTAAACTTTATCCTGCATGGTGGGAGGTCGATAAGGTTAGTGTTTATTTTAGATTGAGTTTAAAGGTATTCATAAATAAGTGCGCAAATGAATGAATTATTACTTATGATTGCAGGTGTTTATCCCTGTTTTGGAACGTAACCATTGGCTTCTCGTCGAGCTTCAGATCCCATCCCTTAAGGCAATAGTATATGACAGCATGATAAATTACATATCATTGGCTGATTTAAGAGATATTATTAAGGGATGGAGCTCTTATTTGGCTAAATTCTTGGATGCGATAAATTATTGGACTCGTTCTGAAAACAAGAAGCCAAAGAAGCTCAATATTACAGTTAGCAGAGGCGAGACCGCACCACAACAAACGAAAGGACCCAGAGGGGATTGTGGTCCTCTCGTATGCTTGGCGTTGGACCGTTTGATCACAGGAAGTATAAAGTATCTACCTCCCACCGATATAGATAGAGCTGCAGTAGGCTTGTGGTTTCGACATTATATGGCTAGATCGATATATACGAGACACTGCCTACCTGCATCCGCGTTATAAAAATATCCATAAACAATTGGTAAGTTTATAGGCTTGTGATTTGAAAATGTTTGGTTAAGTACCTAGAATTCAATAATTTGTTGTTTGTAGGTTTTAGATGTGTAGAAAGTGTTGTTTGAGTAAATGTTTGGTTTATGCAGGTTAATCTCAGAAGTGAGCTGCGTGAAAATGATGTATGGCTGCAAAATTTGATTCAATAGTAGATGAGGAAATAAGAATTATTGCTTATTTTTTGATTGTTTAATTGATTTGTAAAAGATGATTTGTAAAAGTTGATTTGTTTAATTGATGTGAACATAATTCTTATTTGTGCTTGTTTAATTGATTGAAATGTAATGGTTGATTTTGTTGATTTCAATCTGCATTATGTTGAAGGCAAAAATGACTATCGCAATGCGAAATGAAAATAGCAACGAGCGAATCGCAACGCGAAACGAAAATCGCAACGCGAAACTAAATTCGCGTTACAATTTTCATTTCGCTTTGTGATTCCCTCGTTACGATTTTCATTTCGCATTGCGATTCTCTCGTTGCGATTTTCATTTCGCATTGCGATAGTCATTTCCGCGTTGCGATAGACATTAAGATGATTGCGAACGTCATTTCCGTGTTGCGATAGTCAAATGATTGCCTAATAAGTGATAACAACTGAACAGGTCATAGCAATTTTCAAACTCAAGTTACTAATACATGCCTAACTGAAAATGTTAAAAGTTCACACATAAAATCTACATAATACAACGTTTGCATTTAAAAATCACCTAAGTTAACAGTCCCAAAAGGTGAAGCCAGTTGTGATTGGGATTTTAAAGATGATTGCGATTTTGATTTCCTTTTTCTTGACACCATATGAGCTTTGGATTTTGATGAGGATCCATATTTTGGTAGAGGAAAAGATGATTGTGATGGCACTGGTGATCCACATGTCAACCTTGTATGACCACTTTCCTTGCACTGACTACATGTCGATCTCTTCTTCTCTTCACCCTTAGACGGTATACGATCGTGACTTTTTGGTCGGTCAGGTAGCCTTCTGTCCATGGCTGATGGCAAAACTGTTTGTAAGTCATCTGGTATGTCCCACTCAGAAGGATGTGGAATAGGGTAGACAATCTCGCCATAAGTCTGTCGATATACTTCTGTAGTGTAGCAATCCATAGCGTATGTGCTTGAATCATCTTGGTTTAGATGAAGAGAAACTTTTATAACATGGCCACACGGATAACCAAATGTTTTCCATTTCATACAACTACACGTCTTTTCATTTAGATCGACAAGCCCATTTAAGTTATTATCCAGTACTTCAAACAAAGTGTTTGAACATGGTTCAACTCTCCATGACGTTGACTTCACAACACGTTTCGTTATCTTTTTTTCTGTCCATGGTGTAACACGATGTTCCAATGTTCCTGTAAATTTAAATAAATAATACTTAGTAAAATATATGATAAGTTAAGAATTTAAAGAAATAATACTTGCATGGTTTCTTTTCTTGTAGTACCACTGTTGAATAGAGGCTCGAAAAAACTCCATTAACATAGTAATGGGTAATTTCCGGGAATGACGACTTAGAGCGTTGATTGATTCTGCACTATTAGACGTCATGAAACCATATCTTGCTCCAAGTTAATGTACTCTTGACCATCTTTCAAACCCGACATCTTCTAGTGTTTGAGCACACTGAGGCAAAACACGTCTTAAACAGTTTATATGCTTATTAAAATCCACTTCCCGATAAGCTTTTACAGCCTTCCAGTATGTCCATTTGTGATTTTTTATACAAGCAGACCTTGATTTTAGATTTCTATACAAATGAACACCACAAAGTCCATGAAAAACATCTGGGAAACACCTTCTAACAGCGTTGTCAATTGAGTTTGCCCTATCGGATATGATTGTCATATTGCTAATAGGACCTATACAATCCCTAAGATGCCCCATAAACCATGTCCATGAATCAGAGGTTTCAGATTTGCCAACCCCGTAAGCTATTGGCAATATCCCATTGTTAGCATCCATGGCTACTGCTAATAAGTTTACTCCAAGGTATCGACCTTTCAAATGTGCTCCGTCAACTATAATAACTGGGTTCATGCAAGTAATAAACGAACGAATCTACAAAAATAATATACACAAGAAATATAATCATTTAAATGTGAAATGCATGTAACTAAAAAAAATGAGTCAACATAATTATATTGATTTACTAACCGCAGCACCAATGGCGATAAACAGCAACTCAAAGTGTCCATCTCTATCTGTTTTGATATGAGTTACCGACCCAGGATTTTTCAGCTTTAAATTGTGACAATAAGCCGGCAGTTGGGCAAACGATGCTTCTGGCGACCCCCTCAACAATTCCAAGGCATAACATTTGGCTCTCCAAGCTTGAGAATATGATATACTAATCTTGAACCGAGCATTCATGTCAGTCATAATTTCATGTCCCCGATATACCCTGCCATTCAAAAACATTAACTCAGCCAGAAAACCACCCAACACCTTTTTGTTTGCCTGTCTATGGTGAGGAAAAACTTGGGTTCTTGAACATGTATGTTTATCAATAAAAGTCCTAACTTGAAACATTTCGCAATCTTTTATCCTCTTTGCAATCATACGCCACGTACAGTTTTTGTCAATCATACACCTTGTTTCGAAACGATCTTTGCTTGATTTGTTAACTTTTAGTTGATAGCCATCTTCCACACATTTTCGTATACAAAGATATCTTCAAGTCTTCCTTTGTATCAAAACAATCATCTTTCTTGATACGAATAACTTTTGTGTAACAATCAACTGCTTTCTTTACCAACTCTTCTTCCGGTAGCTGAAGTAATTCTGGCATATTCCAGTTATACTCCCGTGGCATTTTCTTTTCTTCGGGGACTTTTTCTTCTTCTTTTTCTTCTTCAGGATTATATGAATTACAAAATGGATGTTCAACATGTTCATTCACAGTCGTAACTTCCTCATCATTATCATCAACAACATCTTCCTCGGCAACGGTTGTTTCATCATCAAAATTCGGGTATTGACCAATATCAAAATCATTACACGCAGGGTCTGTTTCTTCTTCTGAAACATCATCAAAATCCGAGTATTGACCAATATCAAAGTCCGGGTATTGACCAAGATCAAATTTCGAATACTGACTAGTACTCACAATTTTTTCTCTTGGCTCATCATCGTCTAATTGGTCAATACGAAAATCAAAATTTGGTGCTGAAAGTTGATTGGGATTTGGATTAGAGAAAGGTTGTGGGTTTTTAGAAAAACTTAGTTGATTACTACCCGCTACTGACCCAACAATACTACTTCTAGGTTCAACAACATACAATGTAACATCATCACTTGAAACACTAATGTAAGCAATGAATCGTTCAACATCTTCATTGTCGGTTAACAAATAAACTTTACCATTTCTCTGATAAGATAGCCTAAATCCACTTAGGGGCTCTAAATTCAATTTCTTTGAAACACGTAACATTAGAGTTTCATAAGTTAACTTTTTTTAATGACAGTTTTAGTTGAAGATTCATGGGTAAAGGCATATATTGTAAAACACCATGAACATTCTCCCATGACCCTCCAAAACACAAATCTATCCAAACATGATCAACATTAGATGATTTCATGGTTGTAAATTAATTTACTAAACAAACGAGCTGCGAAAACTAAGAACTGTTACCGGATGGGGAAGGATGTCGTTGGATATAGGAACGGATGTCGTCGGAGAGAGTGATAGATGGAGATGGAATGAGTTGCGATTTAGGGATTTAGGTTATGAGTTGTTGCTGCTGCGTAGATATATACACAAAAAATTTGTGTTGTGAAACTAAAACCTGTTGCGAACTTTGAAAATCGCATTGTGATTCTGTATTATCTCGTAGCGATTGTCAGAATCTCGTTGCGAAAGTCAGAATCGCGTTGCGAAAGTCAGTATCGCGTTGCGAAAGTCAGTATCGCGTTGCGATTTTTTATTATCGCGTTGCGATAGTCAATATCGCATTGCGATTTTCCAAATTCGCATTGCGATTTTGTATTATCGCGTTGCGATAGTCAGTATCGCATTGCGATTTTCCAAATTCGCATTGCGATTTACTTATTCGCATTGCGAATTGGGAAAATCGCAACGCGAAATTGGAAAATCGCATTGCGATAGTAATAATCGCGTTGTGAATCTGGAAACTGATTTGCAATAATGGAGACCGCGTTGCGAATTAGCGATCGCATTGTGATTTTGTTGGTCATTTTGGCAAATCCGAAAAAAATTGATTAAAATCGTATATTATATGAGATTTTTGGTCACTGAGGTTATTTTCTCTTTTTAAAATATCAATTGAGGTCATGTGACAATTTCTTACTGCCACTTTTTGAATTAAAAAAACTCCGCATCATTATCCGTAATCAAATTGCTTAACCATTTTATCATTCCAGAGATTAATCAGCAAATCGGTTTTGTATCTTTTTCTACTAAATATTGGAGAATGCTCCAGTTTGTATAGTAGTATTTGGAGGATTCATATTTATTTTAATTTTGACATGTCACAAAATTAGAACATTTGTTGCTTAGTTCAGTAATACAACTTTAGGTGATTTTTTATTTTCATAAGTTTAAAGCCGCAAAATATATTTCTGGCATGTTTTTGGATCAACTCGTGTTATATTATTGTAATGAATGCCCAAAAAGTAATATCCTGGAGTCTGGACCATCCTGTAGATTGTGTAATGGGAATTAGAGCTATTCGAAAGACATAAATCTGTTCTTTTTCTGCAGCTTTGTGCTATCATTGGCTGATGTGGATCCACAGCTTGTGATGGAAGATGAAAGCTTTGTTTGGATCGGAAATGATGTTGTCATAGTGCTTGAGCACAAAAGTCAAAATATACCTCCGAGGTGAGAGTAACTTTTTCTCGATCCCATTAAAAATTCCCTAGCACCATAATTTTGATTTTGAGCTATCTTATACATTTTATTTTGCTAGACCGAAAAGCTTTCTATTGTCTATTCATTTTTAACTCTTTCCTCGTGCTTTGCCATGGCTTGTTGACTAGTTATGTTTCTGAAACGGAGAGAAGATATGGTATTCCATCACAAGCACAACGCTATTTTTAGGTGAAACAATTATTTATTATTTAAAAAACAGTTACGACTTTAATTTAAAAAATTTAATGATTTTGAATTAAATTGAATAGAGTCGCCATCGACCTTTGGGTTAGGTAAGTCGAATACCTAAAAACATCTTTAAAAATAATTTTAAGAAAAAATATTTTTAAGACAAAAGCTAGTATGCGTTTACAAAGATTCAATTAAAACGAGTACGGGAGTCGTTTACGCATAGGGAAGGATTAGCACCCTGCAGCGCCTAAAATTAGTACTGTGTCGCTTACACGTTGTCGTAATGGTGGAGATCCTGAATCAAATATAAAGTTAAAATATGATCCAATTATTGAACATTAATTTACTTCAAATTAATTAATTTAAAAGAGGAAATTCAAAGGACTAAAATGAAAACAAATAAATATTACAAACCTAAATACAAATAACAAAAAATAAGTATTTAAATTTATAAAGACTAAAATAGATAAAAACAAAAACCTTAAGGATCGAAATAGCAAAATAACAAGTTAAAGAACTAAAATGGAACAAACATAAATTTTAAGTTCTAAAAAAGTAATTACATAAATTTTAAAGACCAAATAAAACAAACTGAAATTTAACGGACTACAATACAAATTACAGATATTTAATGTACTAAAATAGAAAAGATAGACATTTAAGGGATTAAGCTATAAAAATAAAAACTTAAATGACTAAAAGAATAAAAATCAAAATTTAAGAGACTAAATGACAAAAACAAAAAAATTAAAATATTAACCACAAATAAAAATGAACTAAGTTCTCAAAATTAAAAATACTAAATAATAAAAGTATTAGAAATGAAAATAACCCAAAAAATGAGACTTAGGATTAAAATGCAATAAATCAGAAACATGAGGGTTGAATCATAATGAACCTAAATATAAAACAGGGATTAAAACGATAGATTTATAAACATCATAGCCAAATTCAAATAACATTAAAAATACACAAATACATTAATTTAATGACTAACATATAATATTTATAACTATTATGCCCAAATTCAAATATTAATAGGAATTACATAACACATAAAAATGGGACTAAAACGTAACTAATGAAACATAATTACTCAAAAATAAATAAAACAAACTTTCATAAATGACCATAATAAAAACTTACAAACTACGAAGAACTTAAACTGATATAATACCTAAGCCTAAAACACGGAGAGGAAAAGAGCCAAAACTATGTCGTTTTGGCCAGTCTATTTAAGCCTCAAAACAGGCTATTATTTTCCTCAAATATTCATTTGCTTCTTTGCTAAAATGATAGGAGAGAGAGAGAGTTCATAACTCACTCAACTCTCTCAACTGGAGAGAGCAAGGCCACGGTGGTCGGAGTCTCCTACGACGGGGCCAACGGCGATGCACGGCGTCGCACGGCGGCCGAAGCTACACAAACAATCCCAATCGAAACCTCTAACCCCCATAAATTTCGATATACAAACCCCTTTTCCAAAACACCACACAAAAAGTCCTAGATCTAGGATGAGACCATTCGAAAAATTAAGATCTAGTGACACACTTTCGCCTCCGACGAACTTATACTCGGTGAGTTTTCTCTTCCCTTCCTCTCTATTTTTTTTTAGTTTCGAATTTTTTTTATTGTTGTTCCAATCTCTTTTTTTGCTGAAATCTCCCCCTAAAAAATGCCTTTGTCTCTTCGAATCACCTCCTTTTTATCTGATTGCATGCGTGATTGGTGAATACTAATGGGTTTAGGTAAGGGTTTGGTATTTTTCTTTTTGACTTTGGTGGCCATTTAGCACGTTTAGGTGATTTGTATTTGTTTGGCAGATTTCGGTGGATTAATGATGGAGTGGGGTATGGGAAATGGCACATCATAGGGGACAAAAATTGGTGTTTACAACTACCCCTCTTTGCTCATTGTTGTGAAACAGGAAAAGGGCAAAGACGAAAAAGATAACCAGTTTTTGTCCGATTATCTTTTTTAGACTTGATATACTTGTGGTCGTCTAAGGGTTGACACGGCTCCTACGTGATGAGGAAATCAGGTTGAGGGATGACACGGTTCCTACGTGATGAGGACGGCTGGCCATCTTTAGGGATGATAACATGGTTCCTACGTGATGAGGACGACTGATTATCTAAGATTAACATAACTCCTACGTGATGTGGAGATCTGGTCGGTGGGATGACACGGTTCATACGTGATGAGGATGATATGTCATCTTTAGGGATGATAACACGGTTCTTACGTAATGAGGACGGTTGTTTATCTAAGGTTGGCACGGCTCCTACGTGATGAGGAGATCTGGTTAAATGATGACACAGTTCCTACGTGATGAGGATGGCAGGCCATCATTAGGGATGATAACACGATTCCTACGTGATGAGGACGACTGATTATCTAAGGTTGGCACGGCTCCTACGTGATGAAGAGACCTGGTCAAGAGAAATGGTCTCAAGTGAGACAAAATATGTTTCAAGGGAAACTTCCTCAAAAGAGACAAAATTTGTTTCAAGAAAACTGTCTCAAGAGAGACGAAATTTATTTCGGGGAAACAGATTCAACGATTTTGTTTCAAGAGAAACTGTCTCAAGAGAGACATGGAAACAGTCTCAAGGGAGATAATTTTTTTCAAGAGAAATGTTTTCAAATTTTATGTTTCAAGAGAAACTGTCTCAAGGGAGACAAAATTTGAAATCGTGGATGACCCATTCGTCGTGAAGTCGAGCCTCGAATTAGATATTCTTCATCGTGAAGTTGAAATCCAATTTAAAGATGAATGTTGCTGATGGACAGGATATCCTTCGTCGTGAAGTTAGAATCGTGGATGACCCATTCGTTGTGAAGTTGAGCCTTGGAATTGTATATCCTTCGTCGTGAAGTTGAAATCCAATGTAAGTTGCGCTGTTTCGAGGCCAATATCCTTCGCCATGAAGTTGAAATTGACTCTGAAACTAGAAAGTTTATTGACAAACACTCATTCTTTGAGTTGGATATCATTCGTCATGAAGTTAAAATCCAAACAGAGATGGATGCTGCTTGTGTGTACGATTTCCTTCGTCGTGAAGTTGAAACCGTGGATGTGTGGGCAATATATCCTCTGTTAGGAAGTTGAAATCGCGGATCCATGGGTACGATATCCTCCGTCGTGGAGTTGAAATTGCTGATGAACCATTCGTCGTGAAGTTGATCCTTGACTTGAATATCCTTCGTCGTGAAGTTGAAATCCAAGCTTGTGCTGTTTCGAGTCCAATATCCTTTGCCATGAAGTTGAAATTGGCTCTGAAACTGGAAAGTTTATTGACAAACACTCTTTCTTTGAGTTGGATATCCTTCGTCGTGAAGTTGAAATCCAATCTAGACATGGATGTTGCTTGTGTGTACGATTCCCTTCGTCGTGAAGTTGAAACCGTGGATGTGTAGGCACGATATCCTCTGTCGTGGAATTGAAATCGTGGATCCGTTGGTACGATATCCTCCGTCGTGGAGTTAAAATCGTGGATGGCCCCTTCGTCGTGAAGTTAAGCCTTGACTTGAATATCCTTCGTTGTGAAGTTGAAATCCAAGCTTGTGTTGTTTCGAGTCCAATATCCTTCGTCGTGAAGTTGAAATTGGCTATGAAGCTGAAAAGTTTATTGACAGACACTCCTTCTTTGAGTTGGATATCCTTCGTCGTGAAGTTGAAATCCAGTCTAGAGATGGATGCTGCTTTTGAATCAAGTATCTTTTTTCTTGAAGTTGAAACTTGACTCTAAAAGTTGCAAAAAAATTTGTATAAAAAATGATGAATGTGATGATATTAAGTATGTCTAAGATGCATGCAACATGAATTAGTTTTATCTCCTCGTGCTTTGTCTGCATGTTCCTACATGTGGAGGAAATGCCTTCAGAAGATTTGATCGTTTGTATCAGGATGTTGAATCCCCAAATATGCCCCAATATTCAATATTGAATCTCCAAATATGCCCCAACATTTATTGTTGAATCTTTAAAGATGCCCCATTATTCCTCATTGCTTGTTTCAACACTGATTCTAAGCATGAGCTTTGTTTCTGAGAGCCACATGTTAAATACCAAGATCCACTCTAGAGAGATTGTCTTATTTGAAAAGTGTTTTTCTTCTTCTTTTATTTTCAAAAGTTCTGAAAATATATTAGAAGAGTTTTGAAAAATGTTTAATCAAAAGTTTTGAAAATATTGCCTCTTTCTAGGTTTCACAATTGAGACGAATCATAAAACTAGAGTTCATTGGACATCAAAGAATTAATTACACTGTTAATCCTTCAATAAATTATAGCTATTTGACAAGTGTCAAGATCAAAGCTATCTTCGGGAAATGGTTAAGAAATGAAACAATAAGAAAGTCTCAGGTTATTGTGTTTGGTTAATGGTTTGGCCTTCTTATTTCTTTGATGTTCACTGATCTGATGGGGTAGTTTGTATGCTCATCTACTGGAAGTGTTCGCCGGCTCCCAACTCTTATGGTCACGCATTGTGCAACGCCTTATCAAGGAATTTGTGCGATTGCCTTAGCTGCACAATTTTTTACATTCGAGCTGCCTTTTCAGGTTTTCAACTCGAATCCTCCTTTAGTTTCAAACCGTAATCAGAATTTACATCTTGAACCCCTTTTTTTATTTTCTCTATCATGCATTAAAGATTTTAGAAAACTTTTTGCAAATAAAAATTAATTCTGATGGGTGGGATGAAATCTAAAGATATTCTCTTCTGTTCAGAAATCCATGTATGATTAGAAGGGACTTTTAAGGCACGTAACGTAAGCCAAGGTTCATGGTTACTAAAGAAAATGATAAATAGGCCTAAACAAATGTTTCAAGGTATTGAACCAATGATCAATTCATTTTGATGCATTCAATCCTGTCTTGCTCAATTTGAATCTACTCGTATGTGTTTCTCTCATGATGCTCTATGATTTTCGAGTGAAGTGATTCTGGAATAATTGTGCTTGATCAATCTCATAGCTTGAAGCTTGATGCATCATTTGACTCAAGGGAATCTTTACATGTGCATCTTGTTCTTTTTTCTTTGCTTTTTATTTTTCTTCTTTTCCTTTGCTTTTTTGTTTCTTTTTTTTTCTCTTTGTTCTGATTGGATCTTCACATTTGGTATTTGATTCAGCTTTTGATATCTCCTCTGGATTGATGTATTCACTCATGTGAGCAGATTTCTTCCACCTTGCCCCCCAGTGTGGCGGTGATCCTTGGTTAAGGTTGAATTAGAAAAAATATTATAGGCTCAAAAGGAGACAACAAGGGATATATATATATACATATATGGATAAATGAAACAAAGACGCTTATCATCTCATATACAAAATTCTTCACAGAAAAGGTATCCCCAAGGGGATAGATTTTCAGGATTAATTTTATTCACATGAGAATAATGTAATTAATTCATGATAGAATAATTTCGAATTAATTCTCCTTTTAGGCTTCTTGTTCCCAGAATGTCTCAATTGTACAAGCTCGACTTCAGAAGATTGCTTCGAGATGCCCCACATTGTTTATTCTGGTATGAAGGTTCATGTTCAAGTGACCATTTAACGTCTGCAGGTTTTATTGGTAAAAATGTTGGTTTTGGTGGAAGAAGACAATGGTGTGACTTTATTGACTCAAAGGTATCGGTATGACTCTCCATGGATTATTTTGGGTAAAGAATTGAGATTTTTTTAACAGGATAAGAAAGGTATGATCTTGCCATATGCCAAAAATCTATAATTCTTGAAGAATTAAAAGAATATTTAATTCATTTAATATTCGAAGAACTAAAGATTAAAACTCGTTCAATTATTTCACCTAAGAAGGTAGCATAAATTCAGGCGTTTTAGAGATTAAACAAACATGAAAGATCAAAAATGTGCTCAAACAAAACAATGCTCTCAGTATAAATGGTAGATGCAATGCTCTTCGATTGTTCATGCCCCTGAATCCATCAGGTTTTGAATCTTGCGCTTCAGTGCCTTACAATTTTCAGAGGAATGTCTGGAGCTTCCTATGTGGTAAATGTACACAACTTCAACATTGTTACTCTTATGATATGGGGACTCTTTTCTCAAATCATCCTGGCAGGCTTTGCCCTACAATCAACTAATCAGGCTGCCACTATATTGATTTCATTTTTAATTGTTAAAATCTTTCTTCCATGTGGTGTCACGTGTTTAAGAACACTGCATTGAATCATTCATGAAGAAATTTCATGTTTATGAAAATACTTAAAAATGAAATGTAAATGTAAAAATGCATGAAATGCTCGAGGCATTAATCTGAAAACATGCATGTTATTATAAATAATCTTTATTGGGGACAAAAGTGTTTTATCTTTTAAGAGACAAAAATATCATGATAGCTTCTAACATGTTGACTAGTCTTCTGCCTTCGTCTGTCACCAGTTGAATAACCTGTCGGATCGCTCCGGCTTCTCTGGATGAACCATGAAAATGTTGAGCTATTTTTGTACTGGTCCAAGAAGTCTCAAATGACTGCATCTCTGGCATTCATCTTTTGTTGAACCTGTTCCCAACGAATACATCATTGGAGCCTTCCATCGAAAGAAGTATATGAACCTTATTTGCTTGCTTCTTGAATTCATCAACAATGACCTCCAATTTCAGCTATCGTTTTGTCATTGTTGTCTTTGAAGGGACTCTCAAGATCAATAACCTTCATCTTGAATCTGCAACCTCTGTCAGTTAGTTCTTCAAAGGTTGACTTTCGTTGTGCTTGATGTAGACCCGGTTCATTCTGATTCTCTCGCAATGTAGTATACTCTTCGATTGTGGGCACCACGTCTTCTGGATTGAATGTGACACATAGTCGCCTTGTAGAATGTCCTCTGCATTTTTCATCTCTTGTATTACAACCCCTTTGTCCATTAATGCAAACTATTCATGTTTAACAAACATATTTTTGTGGATCAACACCTCTTACATTATGTTATAACAATGCAAATGCAATGCAGAGAATAATGAAAAATGACACAAACAAAAGAAGTGAGATAAGTTAGTGTACGCACAAAAATTGAAATTGGTTAGTATATGTAAAACAATCAGTATAGATAAAAATGTCATTTAAAGATGAATATAACACCTACCCAGTCATGATATCTATCCGAGCATGCTTTTATTAGATAGTAATCCTACCCAAACATGCTTTCTACCCACAAAGATGTATTTACAAGAACTTAATCATAACTGCATGATATCTAGTTTGCATGCTGTCATTCAACAAAATTTAAAGCCAAAAGAAAAGGTTCAGAAACGATCCTCTTTGGTGTACACTTAATTTGGCTACCTATTGACAAACAAATGTTCAACATGACTATACCTATGGTGACCGTTCTACGGTTCACTATATGCATGGTTTCAGCTCTAATGAGGAAAAAGGTACTCGAATTATCCTTGATGTCGGTGCCCCCTTGGGCTGCCAAACCCTCGATCCTCACCCATTACAAGTTTCGAGCGGAACGAGTTCAATTCGAGAGGATACATTCCCTTATGCCCATACGGAGAATAAATTCACACGAAAGTATAAGGTATATGAATCCCGAAGGTTACTTGCTAGGCCCATACGGAGAATTAATTCCCACAAATGCGTCGCTTTCACCCTTACTTAAAAGGGTTCGGAGCTCGGGTATATAGCTTATGTTATGCAAATGCCCGTGATGTGTGTGAGGAGGAACATTCAACCCTTTGACTCAAAAGTAAAACAAAACCACTCGATAAAACGTGGACAGATCTGAAAGCAAAAAAATCAAAATGTTAGTATAACAAAAAATGAAGCAATTACAAACTTCAATAAATGGATCATAACTTAACTAAATATTTGAACTCATAATTTCCACCAAACGACAATGTGTAAGCGACTTATAGCCTGACTCTCTAAAAGTCCCCAGTAGAGTCGCCAAGTTGTCATAACTATTTTTAGGTGAAACAATTATTTATTATTTAAAAACAGTTACGACTTTAATTTGAAAAATTCAATGATTTTGAATTAAATTGAATAGAGTCATCATCGACATTTGAGTTAGGTAAGTCGAATACCTAAAAACATCTTTTAAAAATAATTTTAAGAAAAATTATTTTTAAGACAAAAGCTAGTATGCGTTTACAAAGATTAAATTAAAACGAGTTCGAGAGTCGTTTATGCGTGGGGAAGGATTAGCACGTGGCAGCGTCCAAAATTAGTACTGTGTCGCTTACACGTTATCGTAATGGTGGAAATCCTGAATCAAATATAAAGTTAAAATATGATCCAATTATTGAACATTAATTTACTTCGAATTAATTAATTTAAAAGAGGAAATTCAAATGACTAAAATGAAAACAAATAAATATTATAAACCTAAATACAAATAAAAAAAATAAGTATTTAAATTTATAAAGACTAAAATAGATAAAAACAAAAACCTTAAGGATCGAAATAGAAAAATAACAAGTTAAAGAACTGAAAACGAACAAACAGAAATTTTCAGTTCTAAAAAAGTAATTACAGAAATTTTAAAGACCAAATAACACAAACTGAAATTTAATGAACTAAAATACAAATTACATACATTTAATGTACTAAAATAGCAAAGATAGACATTTAAGGGATTAAGCTATAAAAATAAAAACTTAATGACTAAAATAATAAAAATCAACATTTAAGAGACTAAATGACAAAAACAAAAAAAACTTAAAATATTAACCACAAATAAAAATGAACTAAGTTCTCAAAATTAAAAATACTAAATAATAAAAGTATTAGAAATGAAAATAACCCAAAAAGGAGACTTAGGATTAAAATGCAATAAATCAGAAACATGAGGGCTGAATCATAATGAACCTAAATATAAAACAGGGATTAAAACGATAGATTTATAAACATCATAGCCAAATTCAAATAACATTAAAAATACACAAATATATTAATTTAATGACTAACATATAATATTTATAACTATTATGCCCAAATTCAAATATTAATAGGAATTACATAACATATAAAATTGGGACTGAAACGTAACTGATGAAACATAATTACTCAAAAATAAATAAAACAAACTTTCATAAATGACCATAATAAAAACTTACAAACTACGAAGAACTTAAACTGATATAATACTCAAGCCCAAAACACGGAGAGAAAAGAGTCAAAACTATGTCGTTTTGGCCAGTCTATTTAAGCCTCAAAACAGGCTATTATTCTCCTCAAATGTTCATTTGCTTCTTTGCTAAAATGAGAGGAGAGAGAGGGAGAGTTCAGAACTCTCTCAACTGGAGAGAGCAAGGCCATGGTAGCCGGAGTCTCCAACGGCGGGGCCAACTGCGATGCACGGCGTCTCACGGCGGCCGGAGCTACACAAACAACCCCAATTGAAACCTCTAAACCCCCTAAACTTCTATATACAAACCCCTTTTCCAAAAAAACCACACAGAAAGTCCTAGATCTAGGATGAGACCATTCGAAAAATTAAGATCTAGTGACACACTTTCGCCTCCGACGAACTTATACTCAGTGAGTTTTCTCTTCCCTTCCTCTCTATTTTTTTAGTTTCGAATCTCTTTTTTTTATTGTTGTTCCAATCTCTTTTTTTGCTGAAATCTCCCCCTAAAAAAATGCCCTTGTCTCTTCGAATTACCTCCTTTTTATATGATTGCATGCGTGATTGGTGGATGCTAATGGGTTTAGGTAAGGGTTTGGTATTTTTCTTTTTGACTTTGGTGGTCATTTAGCACGTTTAGGTGATTTGTATTTGTTTGGCAGATTTCGGTGGATTAATGATGGAGTAGGGTATGGGAAATGGCACATCATAGGGGACAAAAATTGGTATATACACTTCTGCTGTGGGTGGGTTGAGTGCACCGTACAAAAAAGCTTCTCATGTACATGAAAGGCCTTTGGTGAATTGGCTCTGGGCTGCGGGTTGTCACCCGTTTGGACCGTTCTCAAATACATCACAAATCAGCCGAATGCTTCAGGATGTTGCATTGGTAAGCGAATTTCATTGTCTTAAAGTTATTTGTATCACATACGAGAACATGCTTACTGAGGCATGAAGAGTGCACTTTGCAACTTGGTATATATTTGGTTGAAACAACCCATGAAGCACGGACACTCGAGAACACATCAAAAAAATAAAAATAAAATTGGACACATACAGAACAAGATTGAGACATGATTGGACACATTTAGACGCACGATCAAAGTTCTTCTTATTGCTGTGTCCCGCTGTACCCGTTTCCTAAATTTTCTAAACTTCCCATAACATCGTGTCGTGTTGTACCCGTATTGCTTGTCTGAGCTTCCCAGGTAACAACATTACAAATTCAATTGAATTTTTAGAAGTTTTACTTTCAACACATCTAAGTCTCTTTCTCTTAAATTTTCAGATTCGATGACAAATCCTTTTGAAGAGTGGGGGAATGATACATGCACCAGAGTCCATAATACATGCTTCTTTGGACTAATGTTTCTACTCGAACTTATTAGAAGAATAAAGTCTCGAAGATTCAAAGCATATCTATTCGGTAAGTATAATGTGAATGAATCATTAAACGATTCTAATGTTGCTTCCTTTAATGTTTCAGATTCGAGGTCGAATCTTTTTGAAGAAAGGGAGGATGATAGATGCATCACAAGGCTCACATCAAAGGAAGAAGTAATAACTCTTCCTAATGATCCACTCGTCCAAGCATTGGAAAAGAAAATCAGAACAGAAGCAGACTTACGATGACTTTTTGAATGGGATCCTGATCTTATTTAGTCAAGATGTCTTCTGGAGATACGACCGTTTGTCTCTTATTTTTCCAACGGTTCTTGAATCGTATCAATCCGATATCGGGAACTCAAGATATGACTATTTTATTGAAGACGATGCATACAGAAAATCCTATACGAGATTAATACGGGATTTTGTAAATATTACGAATTTTTAATATTTTTATTAATTATTTGTAATATAATTTAATATAGGATGATGCATTATCTTTTAAGATTAGATTTACTATTTTATTAGGAATTAAAGTTGGGTTAAAAATATTATCTTTATTTATTATTATTTTATTAGGAATTAGAGTTAATATATGTTTAGTTTATTATTATTTTATTTATTATTTATTTAAGACCTTTAGAACTTAGTCCCTATATAAAGGAGTCTTCATTAAATTTTGTAATTCAAGATTTCTTTGATTAATAATACAACGAGAGTTCGTTTTTGCAAGTGCTGATTGTCTTGTGTTTTCGAAGTTTCTTCTTCTTGAGTTCTTTCAAGTTCTTGTGAGGGAGATTAATATTCACACTCCAATTTGTCTTTTCATCGCGACTAGGAGGGTTGGTTAGAGCCATATTATCGTGTTTGCCTTTTCATTGCGACTAGGAGGGCTCGATAGGACACTATCCATCGATTTTTCACATATCCATCCACGTCATCAATCATCTTTATAGTTCACCTTCATAAAGGAGATTTTTTGATTTCTTTGTTATCTTATTTTATTTGCAATTCCTTTTTCTTTTCTTTATCTTGTTTTAATCTTATTTCTTATCTTGTTTCCAGTACCAAAAAAAAACCCTAAAGAACCATATCTATTGTCGCTACCTTCCTCATTCATCCTTTATTGTTCTTTATCGAATCTTAGATCTTTTCTATGTTTGATTCTTCAATAAGAGTAACGTTCATCAATCCGCCACCGCTTCTCTATCACTTCTTTATAGTCATTCCTTGTCCTAGTTGGTAATCTTTAGTGTTTATATTATTTATCGAGTCTTTCCCGTTTTCTTCTGGCTGTCCAATCTTTTCCTGCTGAATATTTGAAGACCCCACTCTGTGAACCCGTGAAAGGAAAGAAGAACAAGTCAACTACCGAGCTATGGGTGGAGAAGTTTTACAAGAAAACAACAAACCTGCCCGAACCTTTCCCACACGAATTAGTCGAGCGAATAGAGAAATACTTGGATGTAAGTCGCAGCTAATCTAGCTAACCAATCGAATTATTTGAACTTGTGCAGTTTTTTTTTTTAATTCGGGTCCATTCCTTGATTAAAAAACAGAACCTCGAGGAACAACTTGTTGATCTTTCATCTTTGTTATATGACCATCGGCTGCAAGAGGCACATTTGAATAGTTCGGACATCCTTCAAAGCACCACGTTTACACAGCAGTAAGTGAACCTGCAATATAGCTATATTCAAACTACTTGTCATTCTTCCTCCGTTTTTAGCGTATCACGTAACATTTTTAGTATATATTTATCGTTCTGTTCAAAACCTTTACAATGCAGATACGTTGAGAACGTTTTGACTAGTGACTAGTGAGAGGGAGAGGATGAGATGCTGTAATATCGAATTCAAGTATCCTGTCCATTCTTCTCAAACTTTCGTATATGGTGGAATTCTTCTTGCTGGGTTCTTGGTATATTTCATGGTCATTTTCTTTTCATCACCCCCTGGTCAATGATAAAAAGTCCCAAGAAATTGCACGAATTCCAAGGTAAGCTTGCTCTCTTATCTTTAGGAAACCCATCATAGGTCGATGATATACATTTCAAAAAGAAGAAAGTTTTGTAAACTTGGGTTTCTCTGCTTGCCAAACCACATGGCGTAAATCTTTGCTAAAATATGTGTTTCTTTTGATAACCATGAACCGAAATACAGAACTTTTGAATGAGCAAATCAAAATTTGATAGTTTATCTTATTCTATCCATGACCATGTAGTGAGTAGAGGAAAGGGGAATATATATATATCAGCTAGGGGTTAGCGTTTGATCGACTCGAGTCGAGTCAAAACACTTTGAGTTATTCGAGTTGATGAATCTTGTTTTATAACTCAAACTTTATTTGAAATTATTTCTAGTTGAGCTTATAATCTTCGAGCCCAGTTTATAAAATTTGAATTAAGTCAAGTTGTTCCAATTTCTGTTAAATTTAATTGTAAATATTTTAATATATGATACTATTTGATTTCAAATTTAAACCGTTTTTATAACCATATATATTCATATTTTTGCATCTGATATATATATATCATACAGAGTTGAGGAACTTGACTCAAATATGAAAATTAATCTATTAATTATTAAAATTTTTGAGTTATTTAGGTTCTATTTTATAAGTTGATTCATATTTAAATTTTATCCAAGTTGAAATTATGATATTTCAAGTCGAGTCAATTCGAGTTAAGGTTTTTTGAGTTGAGTATAGTAAAAAAGATTGATTGTTTTGAGTCAAGTTAAATTGTGTTTACTCCTAAATTTAACGGTTGAATTGTTAAAATATTTATTAGAAAAAAGGTTAATGTAGAAAATTATTTTAATTTCAATTTCATAGTAATATATCATTTGCACACGTTTTGTATTCAGAAGTTAGAACTGAAACTTGTTAACTTGATTGACGTGTTTTCACATATGGTTGGGTTGATTTCATCTCTGTGATAAACTAAAGAAAAGGGAAAGCCTACCCCTTTTCAAACCTTTATAATAAAAAACGGTTTCTGCTAATGAATGTTTCAACTATGCTTTTTATTGTAAATTTTTTAAGGACGATTTTAACTATTATGATAAATTTCATCTCAATTTTTAACGATAATGTTTTATCTAATTTATCTAAAATATATTATTTTCTTAAATTAATGAGAAAAAACTATGAACCTTTCTTTTTTAACTTTGGCCTTCTAATTTTTAAGACAAATAGTTTCCGTAGAATTATCAATTCCAAAATAATGTATTATGATTTTTACATCCATACTATTATACATAGTTCCTTTGAACCCTTTACATCCAAAATAATGTACTACTGATTTTTAAAATTGTTTCAATTTTTTTTCTTATTCAATTTAAATATTAAAAGAAACAAATTATAAAGATAATTTAATAAAATATAATTTTAGAGAATTTTATATTTTATGAATTAAACAATAAAACTTTTACATTCCAATCTAATAATATAATCTAATGTGCATATGTTCAATAATCTTATATTTCAATTAGTGGTAAAATTCAATGATTGAGTATAGAACTTTTACATTTTATATGTTTTACAATTATTGAATTAATAAATATAAAGAAAATTTTACGAAAAAAATGAACTACCTCAATTTAAAAACTTCAATCTCAATCGTTAAACTTAGGAATGGCAAACGGGTACAGTTTCGTGGATTCAACACCATATTCGCTTCAATTGGAGCGGAGATGGGTATAATTTTAGCGTGTAGTGGGCGGATGTGGATTTATAAAGTGGTACCCGTCGTGGGTGGTGGGCAGGTAATGGGTTTGAGACATTACCCGCCCCGCATCCGCCCGCCCCACATCCGCCCACCCAGCTAAATATCTATTAAATTTTGGACCATTATGAATTTAGGTGTAATTTTAAAGACTAATTTATAAATTTTAATATTGTATAATATATAACATATAATTTATCCAAATATTAAGGATATTTAGTCTTTAATCTGGTCTTTAATCAGGGAAATATTCGGCTCTTTGATTAAACCTATAATCTCACTAACCACGTCACTTTCCATGTTCTTTAGTTCATGTTGGTCATCTAAACACAAATTAGCCGTACTATAAGCATTAACACCAAAAGCAGCAGTTTTCATATTCTTTAACCCCTCAAAACCCATATTAAGCGCACTATGAACATTAACATCGAAAGCAACACAACAATCCAACTTTGTGACTACATACTCCCTACAATCTGTCTCCATAACATTCGTAGAGCTACTCCTCTGACAAATTGAAGCATGCACTGCTACCCCATCACGAACTGTCTGGGAACCAACTCCAACATCCCATTAGTTTGCTGTCAGGTGGATCTAGATGGGTATGTCGCTAGTGGGTGTGGGGATGGATTTGAAAATGTACCCGAGTGGGCGGATGTAGATTTGAAAATTTATACCCATCATGGGTGGTGGGCGGGTGTAGATTAAAAAATATTAGGTGGATATGGGGATGGGGGAGGGAGTATCCGCACCCGACCCGCCCGTTTGCCATCTCTAGTTAAACTTACTTAATACAACAATTTGAAAAATATATAAAACTTACAATTTTACACTGAATAAACAAACCAAACTCTTTTAACTATTTTATTTATCGAATAAATAAACTAAAAGTACGTAAAATGCATGTTATAGGATCCACACAATATCTCAAATGCATGCACGTTAAAACACAATATACAAACATTTTCATCATTCTATGTTTGATGCCATTAAAGTTTTTTTACTTTTTTACTTCTTTACTTCAAAATTAAAAGTACACAAACTGAATTACTCACTTCTATAACAGAAAGATTTTGATAGTTTAACCCTGTGGCAAGCTACCAAGTACCCCAAATGCAGAACAAATTCTTATTTACAAATTGTAAAAGTCAGAGAATAGATTTTGTTACCATCTTTATGTTGCTGATAATTGCTACAAATTAGGTAGGCTCTCAAACTAAACTGATATTTCCACTCATCAATTCTTCCTGAAATGGCCTGTAACGTAGAATGCATAGATCTCCCGGTACCATTAGAAAGTGGTCATCCCTGCCCGATGAATGATACAGATTTGTTAGCAAGTAACCTGGAAAAGAGAATATTTACTATTTTTTACGAGCTTTAAGCTGTGAACGAAGTGAGAATATAGAATTGCCTGCTGTCAAACCCAGTAGATTGCCTGCTGCCATCAAGGTACAATGGTCTCGTTGTTCTCTCGCATTTGGCGACAACAAATGTGTCTAGCAGTGGCTCTGGAACTGAAAATCGTTGACATAAATCAATCATCGGCAAGCAAGATGTACACATGACAAAATTGCAGTTGCAGGCAATGAGTATTTGAATCCAAATCACTTGAGAAAAACAAATTAACTCCTGTTAAGGTGTAAAGCTAATAAAGAAAATACAGTTTATATATCAATCTCTTTCTACTTGTGATACAAGTCTACAAGTCTTTGGCACGAGTATATTCAATCTTTTTTCCCACATATTTTGAAGATCATATCGCCGTATGTACTCGACATGATCATTCAAGAAAAATGAAGCATCAAAACAACCATGCTGGATGCTACTAACTTCAAATTACATGACCATGCAGAGAAACAAGATAATTCCTCTTAATATTGAAGTGTAAAAGTTGGAGGGAAAAAAGATATATTAGAATTACCCATATCATCTTCTTCACTTATAACAGACTGGTTTAATACAGACTGATAATTATCAGGCAAATTTGACAGAACGGTTTCTTCAAGATGTTTCCCAATGTCACGGATACACCTGCAACCATGAAATCAAATTTTAAAGATAACTTTTCAGATTCATTAAGGTGTCCATCCATCTCCAGAATAAGGTGTTCTAAACCAAGTTTTCCAAATAAACAACAAACAAAACCCAAATCCCATATGCAATGGGGTAAGGGAGAGGTAAGGTAGTAGGCTGCCCCCAACGCCAAGTTGAGAGTAGCTTCCGTAGAAGACCTCCAGCAGTCAGAAAATTAAAAATATAGATAAAATGCAATGCATGTATAAATAAATACATAAATACATAGTTGAACAGTATTCATATACAGACATTAATATCATTAATATCATATGCGCGTTTGTACTTGGGCAATAATCCCTGCAAATAAATTCATACGAAAAAATCTCTACATATAGACAGAAACGTAAGACCCGACTAAATTTAAAACTAAAGAGAATGTTACACAGAAGTCAACGAAAGCAAGCCCAGTTCTAAGCCTTCATAAATACCAATAACAGAAACGTATAAAAAGTAGAAGTTACCCACACTACTCGACTACCCTAGTTTTGAGTCTTCATACTTTCCTATCAGAGGTCGTGTTCTCGGTAAGGCCTTTACCTTTCAGTAAACTTCTCTTCTTCCATTGAAAGACGGTTCCGATAAGTATCCGTTTTCCAGATATAAAACATGAACTTCTCAATCTGTATTAATAACATCACCAAATAATCAATGCTAAAGTATAAGAATTTCAGGATGCAGATCATACAGGAAATGCAGAAAATGGATCTCACGGCAAAACCAGAAGGATTCCTTGGTCTATTCTTCCATCATAAAGAGATATCATCAATTTTCAGCTTCCCTGGAAACATCACAATATGAAGAGACAAAGAAAAGAAATGAAATTTAGAGGATCTTTTATACCTTCTGAAGCCGAACCCGAAGGTATGATCTTAACAAGAATTGAGCCCTATCCAGGTCCATCTGATAGAGTGATGCAATGAGAGGATCATGACCACTTTCCACAAAGTCATCTACCGTTTCCTCCTGCAAATTGAGCAACAATTATGTCTCATAGAAAAGATATATTAACAAAGTAACTAGCAGTGAGGATTAATATTAATCTAGCATATGCTTAGCAGAACCCTCCTTTGCAAACAGGGATTACAATATGTTATTATTTTGATTTGTCATCTGGTTCAAATCTTGAGAACTATTGAGCACTAAATTACCATAATCCTTCAGGAAGTATTTTCAATTTTTTGGAAAGGACAAGTCATAGTAATTCATCAAATAATAGAGTCAATTGCATCATTTATACATAATTATGGATTTCCGAGGAATAATCCTCACTTTTAAAAAAGCTAAAATTGCACGTATGTAATTAAATTCTACCTATGGAGAAAAATTTAAACCATAATTGACAGATTATAATTGTTTAATTTTCAACTTAATCTCAAAATCAGTTTGTAGAAGTATTCACTTAAGATTAACTTCTCTTCAATATTTTTTTTTTAAAAATTGCAGATCTAATTTTTTTTTTTGGCATTTCAGTAACGATTGTATAGAAGCAGAATATTAGATGTATATCCAAACGGAAACCTGGAATTGAGATTAATCACAGTTTTATCTTTCTTTCTTTTTTACTGAAGTACATTTTTCTCGAGAAAAAAAAACAAAGGGTGGAGGTTAAATTATGAGATAGACAAATAGTACCATTAACTGGATCTGCTCTTTAGCTCTCTTAACTAAAGCCTCCTCGAAAGGAAGGATCTCAGGAGACACCTTCTCGTTACGCCATGCTTTCTTCAAGAGCTCCACATCGGTCGTCGAAATTAACGTCTCGTAATCGTCGATCTGCTCCGCCGACCACTCTCCGGCACTGGACCCCATATCTCTCTCTCCTAGGGTTTGAAGCAAATCTAAAAATGAGTACTTAACGTGGGAAAGTTTTCAATTTTGGCAGAAAAAAATGAGAGTTGGCGCCAAAAGAAAAGCAAATGATCCGGTGTTTCCAAGAGGAATGGATCACAAGTTTGCTCGTATCCAAAACCGTTGGATGTCCTGGTTATTAACAGACGGCTTTGATGGCGTTCTATTCGCGCATAACTACAAGACCGTGCACTATGCATTCTCAAACTATTATTCCTATTTCGAATTGGTGCTTACATTTTTTGACATTCCAATTTTATTCCCAAACTATGAATTTCAATCTAAATTAATCCTCAAACTTTTAGACGTTCCAATTTCATCTCCAAACTATAACCCTTATTTTAAATTGGTCTCAAATTTTTGAACATTTTAGTTTCATCTCAGATTATAACTGCATGCTAACCACATCTCATGTTAATAAAATCATTAAGCTAGATTATATTATTATGTGTTTGAAAAGAAATAAAATTCAATTTAAATTATAGTTGAAACGAATTATATATTTGGATTAATTTAAGAATAAAATTGAAATATTCAAAAAATTAGGGATTAATTTAAAACGTGAGTGTACAAATTTAGGTTTGAAGGACATTTTAGAATTAGCTCAATCTTCCTTAATCAGTATCTCACAATCTTTTCGGTGTTGTTTTTTTGGCTATGTATTTACTTCCGGGTTAAACGTATTCTTTTCTTTTGTTTAGATTTAAGGAGATTTTTAACGAGACATTTTTTCTTTATTTTATTAATAATTTTTTTGTCTTACCAAGTAAAAAAAATATCTCACAATCTATCATCAAAACGTTAGTTGGATAATCCTCTCGCTGTATGATTCCGTTTAAGGGATCGACAACTCAGTTAGCATTGATTTCAACTATCAACTGTTGAATGTTGAACTCTTTGCCTAGGATTAGTCTTTGTCCAACTCTCCATGATCCAGCTAATAAATTATTCGTATTATCAATCTTCATCATGAAACCATGCATCCAACTACCGTTTGTGTCGCGGATCAGACCACCTGCTAATTAAGGCGATGTTTGAGTTAACTTTTTAGCTCCGTCTGTGTTCAAAACCAACGTCCTAGACGCAGGGGAAAACCATTGCACTCGTATAGTCTTTCTTATCGTTTTTTTCAACGCACAAATTCGTTGTCGTCTTTGTATCACGGGCTAGCCTAGTCGCATGAAGTAATATCTAGCTTTCATAACTTTTTTAGCTTATTGATAAAGCGCACATATCTTGAAAAGATAATTGATTGAACTCGAGTTCTCTATAAAGAAAAATATACTCTTTTATTATTAAAGTCACTTAATAAATATTATTAAATCATATTATTTTAATAAAAGATATTAATATTAAAGCGATACTGAAATAAAATAAAAAGGAGTAAATTGACTGAAAAAATAAGACTTAAGGGTCACATTTGCCCCTATAGTAGATCAAATTTATCATTTCCTCTCTTATCGTATTTCCACATCAATTTAATCCTCAAAGTTATTCAATTGAATCATTATATGCCATTCCCTTAACTTAAAAGCTTGAGTTAGTGTTTAGAGGTAATAGGGTTTAGGGTTTATAGATTATAATTTAGGGTTTTAAGTTAGGGATAGGGTTATAAAAATGATGTAATTAAATAACTTTGATTGTTAAATTGATGTGAAAATACGATAGGGGCAAAAGTGATAAATTAAGTCTACTCCATGACGAAAATTACCCTTTTACCAAAAAATAATACAAAAGTTAAGGTGGAAAATCCAGTGTAGTATAGAGGCAAAACAAGTATTTATAAACCCTTAACATTAATAGAAAAGAAAAGAAAATATATTGAAGTGGTAGTAAACGGGACATATTCCAGAAATGGCGGCTTTGGGAGGTGGTTCATATAATTACATGTCAGAACTTGTTTGACTTATAATATGGTGCCCTCAAATCAGATTTCGTCCCAATGAGATTTTTATTATTTTTAGGTATGAAAAATTCTACAATAGCACGTCGTATACCACCACCTATCATTAAAGTGGAATATCAAAATATATCACAAACAAATTTATATTTATTATGTAAATGTTAAAAAGTATAAAAATTTGTTTAAAATTAATCATTAATTAAAACTTAGTTTTAATTTTAATAGAATTATATTTAAATTATGATTTTTTATTAAAAATAATAATTAATTTAAGTAATTTAATTTATTTAGCATTAAGATTTGTAAATTATTTTAAGTTAAGAATTGTCATCAGCAGTCGTCATTGTGAGAGACCTTAATTCGTCAAAAAACTTGTCAAAAAATATTATATTACAAATCTAATGCTGTCTTTTTTCATCACTCGGTTCACCATCGCCTAATAATCACCTAACAATCGCCCTACAATCGAACACCCAGAAGAACCCGCAGAAAAGTGACCGGCGCCCCTCTCTGTTTCATTGATTTCACGAGGGTGGAAGGAATCTTTTAGGCAAAATTATAATTACTAGAACATGTCCTCGTTACATTTATAGAAATTAAAATTATAATTACTTGAAAATGTTCTCATTTATATTCTTCAAATCAAATCTAAATGAATGCATTTACATGTATAAAAGCTTATCCTAAAACTTATCAATTATTTATGTCGAACACGAATAATATTTTACGAAAAGCCTAAAAGAAATAAACTATTTTATGATAAATTGTTATTTGGTGGAAAATGTAACACCCCCAACCCATATCCGACCCGGATACGAGTCTGAAGTGTCACATTGACTTTTCAAACATTTATTCGTATAAAATAGTGAGTAATTTAAAAACTTTTATAACATTTAACTTATTCAAAACGTTTACAAAATATATCAGAGTTCATACAATTTATATCTTTAGACTACATGCCAACTACACTCTATATACAGTACATATATTTTCTGATCTGACATTTGGTAAGGAGAACTGACCTGTCTTGCTCCGCATTACTCTTCTCGAAACCTACGTGTGAAACAATCACACGCTAAGTCGTTGACTTAGTGAGACATATAAAATATATACTATTTCATATAACATAAATCATACATAAACATATACCATCATTATCATTAAGAAACACACATAACATCATATGGTTCATGTAACACATTTCAAACCACTTACCTTTGATAACCATTTATAAACCCATCGTATACATATCACATTCAATATTGTTTGTTTGATCTCTTTATTAGCCCATGTACACTATTGAGAACTTAAGGTATGTGAGTACATTGAGGTTGTGCACTAATGCTGTCACCACATCTCGTATCAATTCCCTCATGGGGCACCGAACCTTAGTTCAGTATTCGTCCCGAAGGACCAGTCCATAGATCCCGAAGAACCTAGGTAAACAGTCCATATGCCCCGAAGAACATAGTTAAACCCTCGACCCTTGGCATGCCAACTATACCACTAGCTCTCTTATCACATAACATGGGCATTAACATTCATAACAGTTCAATTTACTTATTCATATCATTTCTGTTATGAACATATATCTTTTCTTTTCAGTCACGTACCAAATGTACGTGTAATCATTGATCTTATAATCACATGTTCATTCTCTTCGGTCACATACCATATGTATGTGTAAACATATATCTAATATCATATAACACGCATCACAAATGCATGTATTCACATAAATCATTTCTTATAGCTTTATTCATATCACATATTCATATAAGATCATATCTTATTATCACACAAATCATAACATTGATCACCAATCAAATAACATTTTAGGAGTTACTTCTTACCATAGTAACTCCATCACTGGCTCATCGCAAGCCAAATGTTTATTCAATAATATAAGTACAAATAAAATTGCACTCACCTTAGCTTTGCTTTGATTCGATTCTAATCCTTCAGTTGATTCGGAACGGGATCACGTTCTATATCTACATAATCATACATAGATCTATATCAGTATCATAACTAATATACTCTAATGGTTCACTCTTTAGACCAAGAGAAAAGTCAATTTCATCTTTTAATGAAGGTATGCATCGATGCACTACTGATGCATCGGTGCATAAAATGTATTCGATGTTGTATTATTGCTGAGATGCATCGATGCACTCCTTATGCATCGATGCACCAATTGCATTCGATGTTTCATTATTAATGGGATGCATCGATGCACTACTTATGCATCGATGCATGAATTGCATTCGATGTCTTTATTTTAAAAGAGTGCATCGATGCACTACCAATGCATCGGTGCACAATCAAACAATTTCTGGGTTTTAACCTTGATGCATCGATGCACAATGAATATGCATCGATGCACTCTGCCCAGAATCCTCTTTTTGAACCCGAAAATCATTCATTTTGGATTAAATTCTTCATGTTTCATCCCCTTTTTCATTCTTAACTCTAGTACACATACTTAAACCAATCTATATTTATTTATTTCATCTTAAACCTCAAAATCCTATCTTCCATATGTAATTCAATAATTACATCAATTTTGCAACATTTTCAAATCCAATTCTATTACTTCATATCTCTTACTTAGATTGATGACAAGTCAAATTCCTTCTCAAATTCACTTACTAACTCTTTTCCAGAATTTCCTTAAGAAACTCATTTTCTTTAATCTTTCATAACTTCTTTATCTTTTGATTTTAGGACAAATTAAGCTTTCCATAAGCTTAAGTATTACCTAATGATCAGAACCCACTCTTAAAATTAACAAATAATTAATCAGCTAACAAGGAATCTTACCTTTGCAAGCTTGGCTCTTTCTTCTCTACATGAAGAAGAAGAAGAAGAAGAAGAAGAGAATCTATCTCTTCATTATTAATCCTCTACTTCATTTGATAATTACTAACAACTTTTAGGATTTATTCCAGAAAATCATTGAACTAATTCATTCTTCTACTTAATCACAAATTCTGAAACTTTATCATTTAGTCACTAACCCATAGTTGGGATGTTACAACTCTCCCTTCCTTATAAGAAA